TCAAATTCAATTTGTCAAGTTTTTTCCTTGGACTCCTATGAAATTTACATTTTGATCTATTATTTCATGATTTTCTTCAGAAAATCAACTAAGAATCATGGATTTTGTACAAAAAAAAGTTTATAACCTACTTAAATATATTTTATAGTAATTTTGAATAAAAAATAATTAGAATGTTTATGGCTCGTATATATATTTTCATACTTTTTGTATAATTAAAAAAAAAAAAAAAAACCAACAATATTAATTAAATTATCATGTTCTTACTTAAATGGACTAATGTGTTAATAATGATTTGTGAGTTTTATGAATGATATTGTTATTTTTGAAATAGCTGATATTTCTATGTAAATTTAAGAATTATTTTATATAAATAATTTCATCAAAGTAGCTTAAATTCAAAGTTGCTTATCAAAACTATTGTATGAATGAAAAAATGAGAAATTTAAAGAATGTTAATAGATTATATTTTTTTCTTTTCAAGTTATGAATCAATATTTTAAAATTTGTAATTTTAGTATGCTAGAATAAAATACCTTTGTAAAATTTTAATATTTATAAACTAGATTTTACTTATGATTTTACTTCAATTATAAGCAACAACAATTACAACCTTGTAAGTAACATAAAAAAACTTTAAAATGAAGCTAGACCATCTTAATGTGAAGTATGATCATAACACAAGAAACTCTAATATTCAAATTGTTTACAAGTTGGTTGAGTCTTGGTTACACTAGTACAAGTTAGTAATGTTTAAGTTTTCAACTAATTGTTTATCTTCTAATATTTTTTTATTTAAGTATAAAAACTCTCTTGTTTAAGCAATTGTTTTAAATATAAGATAATTAAAGTAAAATAATTTATTTAATTATACTTTTTAGTGATAGAATGAAGAATAAATGATAACAAATATTTAACTTTTTAATAAAAATTGAATTATTTGTAGAAGTTTTTAACGGAATTTTTTACCTAATAAAAAAAAGAATGTTATAATATCTTTATAAATTATGTTTAAAAAATATGATAGATATTTTATTATTATTTAAAATCTTTGGGAGCCTTTAGAACCTTCTAGCAGCTTTGTATGGAATTATATAATTTTTTGTAGTCTTCTTAAAGTATTTGATATTTTTTTAATATTCTTAGAGGTTTTTATAGAATAATAATTAGACTTTTAGGATCCTCTATGAACCCAAAACCACATTTAGAAGCACATATAGGACCTTGTTGCTAAAATTCAAATATAAATAACAAGATGAGAGATTTTGTTTTCTTACCAAAAACAAGCTTAGAAACAAATCAATTTTAGATATGATTTTAGTCTTGTGTATATTCTTGTTTATTGTATATGTTATTTTTATGTATTGTTGTACTTTGTAATTTCTTGATCATATGCTCTTGACTTTGTAAAATTTATGCAAAGCAGTTTATTAATCCTTTTCTATAGTTTACAAATAAATTATGACAAAAGTTACTTTTAAAATACATATATATATATATATATATATATATATCTATATTAATGGTATAAAATTCTAAATCTATGTGGGCTTTGTTAAGTTTAAATTTATGTAAATACAGTAAAACACTTATATAATATAGTTTAAATTGTTTTGAAATAACTAATAAGGAAGAATGTATTGGTATGATATGTATTACAAGATTAGAAAAATAGTACTGGAATGTTTTTGGCTTGTACAGCAATATGAGCTAAATACATATTTTGTAGTAGGGTTGAGCAGCCGTATTTTCTAACATACTAGTACATTCTATTACATGTTCTATTCCACTTTAAATAACACATGGAAACTTGTAAAAATACTCATATGCTTGTTCATTAATTTTTGCAATATTTTGAAAAATATCACATTCTCTTGATCATGTTTTATTAAATTAAATATAGCTTTGTTGATTTATGTATCCTTTTAATTTAATGACAACAATCAAATTAGTTATTTTATGATTGTTAAATATCATAAGTAATGTCATATAATACATTTCAACATATCACGCTCTCTCTCTTTAGAAACATATATATATATATATATATATATGTATTCTATTTATACAATTTTTTATCTTTGACATATATATATATATATATATATATATATATTCTCACATGCTTCCTTTATCTTATTCTATCACATTTTCTGTCACAGACCATTCACATTGAAAAGAGGACTCCACAATGCAAAAAGTTTAATCTGCGATTGGCTACAGTTCCCAAAATCTAAGATCATCTCGTAACATGATCAGTGTCATTCTAAACCTCATCCCACAAGACATGAATTTGTCAGGACTAATGCCTAGAATGCTATTTATACAATACCATTTAATACAATACTATATTGTACACCTACTTTTCAGTACTTCAATGCTTGTTTGCTTTTGTTTGCACAACTTTTCACCACCCACTCATGTGCCCATTGCCCTGTTTTGTGAGGCAAAACTTTACAAACTTTTTGGCATCAAAATTTGTAGAGGGGGGAGCAATTGAAGGTTGTGTTTGGTTGAGGCATCCAAAATATATTAATGGTTGTGATAATGTTGTTTGTAAAATTCTGCCTCTAACCCACCTGCTACAATTTATAACTCATTGGAGTAATGAAAAGTTTTATATGGTGACAATAATATTATGTTATCACATGATTTAGAAATGGTTCAATGGTGATTTGGCACATAAATTCTTAAAAGTGGGAAAGTTTAAATCTGATTATATTTAGAGCAGAAGGATCAAAAGAAGACAGATCTGGATTATTGTTTGCGGACATTTGACCAGTAGATTCTTAAAGTGTGTTTTGACCAATGAATCTGGAGAACATATGCATTTGCATACGTGGATAGAAACACATTTACGATAATAGAATACTAATCTCAAACCGAAAAATCTTTGAGAACTAATGTGGTGATTGTAGGAGGATTGGTTTTAAATTTCATGTGATTTAAAGGCTTGGACACAAGTTGATCACATAAAATTAGGAAACATGGGTATTAAGTACTCCACTCAACCACATGTTTGCATGTAAGTGTATATATATCTCTTACACAAGAGGAAATCAAAGGACATTCTTTTCCAAATTGCCTTAATACATGATTTTGAAAAGCCATTCCAGGTTGTATGAACAGAAATATGGAACATCTCTTTGGGATCAGGAATAGTAGTTCTTAGAATAAATAGTTTCTTATGCAATGCATTTTAATGACAGCTTTTCATTTTCACAAGGTGTCTCATAATAATAAAATATACCCTTCTATTTGTCCAAGTTATTACACAATATACTTTCTCTCTCTCTCCACACTCACCCATTTAATACCACACAAGGAACTAACACAAAGAATGACTTCAAATTTTAAATATTTTATAATGTTGTGTATTGAAGAGCTTCAGATCCAAATTGATCATGGATAGAAATTTCCTATGATTTCATGTTGTATCATTATTGATAGGGCATGATACATAAACAAATATGTTGCAACCTTGTCTTCTAATGGCAAATGTTAGTGATAAACCCACTGAAATTGGGGCATGTGGGTACTGTATTGCAGACAGGTAACTTCAACATTGGGCAAGGGGGAAATTGATTCACAAATGTATGCAAGTAAAAGCATACACATCCAACCAATAGAATAATGCCACACATACCTTGTTTTGTGTCAAGTGGGTGCCACATGCTTTTCTCTACTTTGCAATCAATAAACACTCTTGTACATTTATAACTCTCGCCTTTTCTATGTATTGTGAAGGGTTGTAACAACTTCAACACGCAACACACATATATATATATATATATATATATATATGTATAAGTCTCTAATTATTGTACAATACCAGAGAGTATATCATTCACCAAGTTTTGATATTTAGATTTTAGTTGAAATAATGGACTAGGCAAAGTTTGTTTAGTTTTATTTGACTCCGTGATAAGGCAAAGTTTGTTTAGTTTTATTTGACTCTGTGATAAGGCAAAGTTTGTTTAGTTTTAATTGACTCCGTGATTTTTTCTGTTGTTCAAATTTGAGGTTTTGTATTGAGAGTGGGGGGGGGGGTGTTGTGAATAGAGAGAGAGAGGATAAGAAAGAAGAAAAAAGGAAAACATTTAAATGATTAAGGTGCACGAGCAAGTTGTAATAACATCGAGGTTTATTTCCTACTTTAGAATATTGATTGAAATATCCCGCTATACAAAAAAAAAAAAACTATTTGGAGGTTTTATAAATTTGAGCATTTTAGTTGCATGATTTTTGGAATAGAATCGAAGTAGAAGAAAGTTATAAAAATGTCTTCTGACACATTGTCCAACAACACAACCATTCAATGGATTAAACTGTTGTTTGAATTAAATTTATATCAGTCTCAAAGCATCTCGTGCACGACTATATCTAGATAAATATATATATATATATATATATCCACACACTCGCACCTCATAATAAAAAATAATCTTATTATAAAAATCGTGTCACTATAATTGAAAAACATTAATATTCATTTATTTGCATGTTTTCAACTTCAACAAGTCGAAGTGAAGTTTCTGTAATTAACGTCGCCGAAACTGCTCAGTTAAATGCTTTAAGTCAGATGACAATGGTTACTTACCTTTCATGCAGCTGAGTGCAAAAAAATCTACTTTTGCAACTAAATATTTCCACTCCATGTTCAACAAGCAAATCTCTCTAAAAAAGAAAAAAAGAAAAAAATTATTTGCAAATTCTCATAAATACTTTAAATTTTTGACTGTCTGGCTAAGAAAAGTTCCACTATTTTTTCGAACAAAACACCAAAATTAAGGAAAATTAAGAAAACAATGAACGAACGGTCCAGATTAAAACTACGTCGATGAGTTGTGAGCAATAGTAACTCACGTTGTGTAAGAAAAGTTAGTTGCCACGTAGGGCGAGAAAAAACGCGGGCGGACATATGAACCGCGGAACTCGGCCTGTGCCCGCGCCCGTGTATGTGAAAGGATTTAAAAGGAGCGCGGGGACGGGGTGGTAAAGAGAGAAAAGCGAGGAAGAAGCAGAAGCTTAGTCTACTACTATAGTAGTAGTATAAGGGCCTCGAATATTGCGTTAGCTATTTATTGGTAACGGTGTCGCGGAGAGAAGCTCAAGGGTGCGTTGCTACGTCGCACACACTCTCACACACACACACACTCACACTCCGCGTTAGGAGGACTTGGACTCGGAGGAGGAGATTTTGCATGTAGGTCCGACATGTGTGAGACTCCTCTTCAGCTTTCACAGCCATAGAATCTCACTGCATCATCGAAAAGTGTCGGACGCATTGTGTCTCAGAAAGCTCGGATCTCGGCGCCACTTGCCATTCTTTCCGTGTTCAGACATCAATGCGCGAACCGCCTCACGGCAGTTTTCCAGCGGCGGAGCGAGGTGAAGTTAGCCGATCTTCCGGCAGTCGGAGTGATGCATCGTGCATTCGTCGTGGTCGCGTTAGTTCGATACAAAAGGCCTCGGGGCGTGAGTGTTGTTTGATTGAGAGGAGCTTCGTGGTGGAGTGACGTAGAGATCGAGAAGTGTCGCTGCTCGGTTTTTTGTTTTTTGTTTTTTGTTTTGTTTTGTTTTATTTTCTTTCTCTGCCGTTGTTGATCTTTCCAAGACGTTCTGGACCTGGATCCCTTGGTAGTGTGAAGTCATGGCTGCTTGTTCTGTTGTATTTTTATCGTGTTGAGTTTGGGGCTCGTTCGGAAGGTTTACTTGTCGGAGCCAGAGGAGTGGGGAAGAGGATATATTTGAAAGGCGGAATTTATTTTCTTCTACATTGACTGCTGCTCACGTGAAGTGGCTTGCTCACTACATTTTAGTTCTTAATTTTGTTTTTTAGTTTTATTTTATATTTTTTTTCTTTTCCTCTTTGCATCGTCGGCATGACTGTTGACTGGTGATGAGCCAGAGGATGCTGTGAGAGTTTAAATACTGCCGCCTTTTTGTACCTTCGTTCATAGTTTTGAAGGAGATGCTGAAAAACAGAGAGGTGGAGTTGTGAAGGAGTGAGCACTGATGGGTAGCCTGGGACCTGCTCTGCCTCCGGGTACCGCTTCGCCTAGTTTCCGTCGCAGAAGTCCGAGACCGTATCGAACTTATGCTTTTGGAGGTATTTTCCTGTCCGACGCTTTGCTCCTCTAAACCTGCTCTAGTTTCTTGTCCGTTCACGCTACTACCTTGTATTTGATTGTCTATGATGCGTAATTTTCTCGTTTTCAATGCGTTAGAAGCTTCAACACGGACGGAGGTTTTGAGAAATAAAATCATCCATGTACTTGCTCTTCATACTGCGGACGGACAGTCTGTGTATGAATGATTACGAGAAAAGATATTCTGCTTTTTTCCTGGTTATAACGTAGCTAATTTTCTGTTGGTAGAGTAACGTGTCTGGCGAATTCTGTACAGTTGGTTCCCTTGATTATTTTAATATTTCATTTTTGGAGGCGGGAGGAGAGCAACTGGAGATATCGTATTTGAATAGTATGTTTCTGGAATATGCGGTAGTGATAGTGAATTCCGGATTTCCTCTACTACTACATGGAAAGTGTGGGGGGGGGTCGAAGTCGTGCGGACGCCGCAATAATCGTGATCCGTGGAGTTGTCGGAAGCGTTTTCCTGGACGCGCTTTTGGGCCTTGGTTTTCACAGTGGCGATTTGGCTCTATGTTGCGGATATTCTCACACACGCAAATTTAGAGAGTGATGATGCTCTTTTCGCCGATCCTCATCCGGCGATCACCCTTGGCTCATTGCGCTCCTGAAATGAGACCAGGGTGTCTGCGAGTTGTTCACGAATATTAAATGCGCTCTTGACGACTCCAATTCGAGGAAGTGTGACCAATCAAAACAAAGCGAAGGATCCTTTCGGTCGTTGCGGTTTCATCTATTTCTTGAAACCAACTTCGACTTCAGTTTCTAAGCGTTTGTCGTCATGATTGAAGAGATTTGCCAGTGGATACTAAACACACGCGTTGGAACTTTGTGTAGGTATTGATTGTTCCAGTATGCAGCCTCGGTTGGTCCTTATTGCCAAGGTGCTTCTAGTGGGGTTGCTGACTGGCCTTTGCATGAGCGCCTTACGTCAGTCAACCTCTTTTGCTGGCTCCAGCAAGGTAACAACTCCAAATTTCGTCTCTTCTTTTCTTGCCAGTGATCTATTTCACAGAAATGAACCTGTTTGGTCTGCAATCCAGAAGTGCTACTATGTCGAGCCATTGTGTTGTACTGCTCGTGTCTTGTAACTAAAGGTAGGTACTGCTTAACTTGAAGGCGCATTCAGTGGATTTTGAGCGACTAAGGATTTTGACTTGACCTTGCAAATTACATGCTTTTGCAGTTTGCGACACGTGAGAGAGGAGTGACTCATGTGCTGGTAACGGGAGGGGCTGGGTTCATTGGTTCGCATGCTGTATTGCGCCTACTGGAAGATGGCTACCGCGTGACCATCGTTGTATGCAATTCAACTCCTTTGCTCCGATTGATGACATTTAATAGCCAGAGATGCATTAGAAAGGAATACATACCATTGGTTCATTAGACAATCAAATCCCTGGATTTAATCTTAACTTGCGGAATCATACAGGATAATTTGTCACGTGGTAACATGGGAGCGGTGGAGCAATTGCAAGCCTTGTTTCCCGAACCAGGCAGGTTACAGTTCCTCTTCGGCGACCTCGGGGACAGCAAACGCGTCACGGAGATTTTTGCGCAGAATGCTATCGATGCAGTGATGCACTTTGCTGCAATCGCGTACGTGAGCGAAAGTATGGCCGATCCTTTGCGGTATTACCACAACATCACATTTAATACTTTAACAGTCTTGGAGGCCATGAGGGCCTATGGCGTGACGAAGCTCATTTACTCGAGCACCTGTGCAACATATGGTGAACCTGAGACGATGCCTATCACCGAAACTACGCCTCAGGTACTCACATTGAACTGCACATACTGCATTGGTTATTAGTATTGGATTGCGTATCACAATGGCATATTTCTTTTTGACATTGTGGCACTCAGTTTAAATTAGGATTAATTACCATTGTTGACCGATTTTCTGGTTTCACTTCAACAGATTCCAATCAATCCGTATGGGAAGGCGAAGAAGATGTCGGAAGATCTCATCAAGGATTTCGCAAAAACTGCAGACTTTTCTGTGACGATCCTCAGATATTTCAACGTCATCGGCTCAGATCCAAAGGGCAGGCTCGGTGAAGCACCACGACCAGAGCTTCGAAAGCATGCTCGCATTTCAGGAGCTTGTTTTGACGCTGCGATGGGGATTATTCCTGGAATTCAGGTTTGCATAATTTGCATAGAATTCAGAAGCAATTCATTAAAATTATTTCTGCACAGAGATTAGCCGTATTTTTGTTGTCTCATTCGATAGTGATATATAGTTTTTTTCCCAAATTCAAGTCTGTTTGTATTTCAGGTGAGGGGCTACGACTACAAAACCTCAGACGGCACATGCATTCGTGATTATATTCATGTCACCGACCTAGTCGATGCTCACGTCAAGGCTCTGGAGAAGATAGAGAAGGGGAAAGTCTCTATTTACAACGTAGGCACTGGCAAAGGTATAGCTCTCTTTCCCAACTTTCCTTCAGTATTGTGTCCGGTATGAATTCTCTTTTAGCCAAGAATTCCTTTCGAAGCATTCATTGAACTGACAAGAGCACGTCTCTTTTCTCTGTGTGTGTGTAACAGGGAGTTCTGTGAAGGAATTTGTTGAGGCATGCAAATTTGCAACAGGGGTGAACGTGACTGTAACGATGCTCGACCGACGGCCTGGCGACTACGCCGAAGTTTATAGCGACCCATCTAAGATCAAACGCGAACTCAGTTGGACTGCTCAACACATTGACTTGAAAGCAAGTCTGTCCGATGCGTGGAGGTGGCGCAAGCGGCATCCGGATGGCTTCTCCTCTGCAATGATTTAGAGCACATGTAGTGTTAAGCAGAGCATTCTTTTTAGCTGAACACATCAGACTTAGCTAGAATGTGACGACTCAGGTTTAGGTTGGGATTCAGCTTCAATGGTTAGAAGCGCATTGTGTATATTAGGCTCGCAGCCCATGCAGCAGGATTGCGGAGGTAGACAAAGCTCTTAGCGTAGATGAAAAGCCTGAACTTCATTCTTGCAATCCACTCTTCTGCTCAATAAGATTCTCGTGTTCAATATGTGACTTTAACCACATCTTTAATCGCTTGTTTCTTTGGTTTTCAGTGTACACGAATGTCCATTTCTTGCGGTGTAGTCCGTTTGATCAAACTGTGTGGAAACGATGAAACTTCGAAAATCCGTTCAGTCCCATTATTTTTGGTCTATTACGAGGGTTAATCTGCTTTCGTTACTAGCACTTATCTTCCGAACAGCATTCCCTTGTACAGCCCTAATTGAAGCTCTTCATTCCTCACGTTCCTCTCTTACGTGAATTGTGTGTAGGGACACGATCGAGCTGTGTGTGCGACGGTTGAAGGGAGTGTGTTGTGGTTGAGGAGTAGCGACGGAGTTTAGAAATGGATTACAGGGGTAAGTACATTCTGGCGCCGATGGTGCGGGTGGGGGGGTTACCGTTCCGCATGTTGGCGGCGGGGTACGGGGCGGACATCACCTATGGGGAGGAGATAGTGGATCACAAGATGTTGTGCTGTGAGCGCGTTGAGAATGAAGCGCTGGGAACTGTGGATTTTGTGGATAAGAAAAGCAAGGACATTATATTTCGCACCTGCGACGCAGAGAAGCATCGTGTTGTTTTTCAGGTTGGTACAGCGGACGCCGTGCGGTGTTTGAAGGTGGCGAATATGGTGGCGGGAGACATTGCGGCGTTCGATGTGAATATGGGATGCCCCAAGAGTTTTTCCACTAGCGGTGGTATGGGCTCGGCGCTCTTGGACAAGCCGGAGTTGATCCACGATATCTTGACAACTTTAAGGCGGAATCTGAACATCCCCGTTACGTGTAAGGTAAGGTTGCTTAAGACTTGTGGGGAGACCGTAGAGCTTTCACGCCGGATTGAGAAGACCGGAGTGTCTGCCCTGGCTGTGCATGGGAGGAGAGTGGCCGACAGGCCTCGAGATCCGGCGAATTGGGATGGGATTCGGGAAGTGGTGTCAGCTCTATCAATACCGGTGATTGCCAATGGAGATGTTTTTGATTACTCTGATTTTCAGCGTATGAAGGATGCGACTGGCGCCTCGTCGGTGATGGTCGCAAGAGGAGCTGTTTGGAATGCTTCCGTGTTTCGGCCGGAGGGGATGCTGTATTGGGAGGACGTGAAAACAGAATATGTCAAGAGGTGTATTGAGTGGGATAATAATGTGCATTGGACGAAGCACACTTTGAAGGCGATGATCATGCATTTTTCCAATGTGGAATTTTCCGAGGGCAAGGCCCTGACTCGCTGCAAAACCCTGGCAGCCGTTGCAGACGTGTATGGATTGCAGAGCTACTACAGAGAGTTAGATGTCGCCCGGGGTGGCAGTGGGCTCTCGCGGGAGCTTTTGTTTCTTACTTAAGAATCTCATACTTTTGAGATTGATGGGGTATTAACACGCTGATGCATGGTGCAGTATTTTCTTCTGGTTTGGCTAAGCATACCTCGTCTATCATACATCTGAAGCTGTGCAGCTCAATACATGCTTACGAGGGCTTTTATAGCGCCAACTGTTGCTCATGCCTGGAAATAAGCCTGCGTGTGGGACAGTAAAAGCTCTCTCTATCATCTGAAAAGCTCCAGCTCTGGATGTCGCATTCTGTATGTCGATGTTACCATCAACGTTAATGCTTGTTCAATGATAAACTGTCAGGTTGCAGGCGTTGGTGCAGCATCACAGGTGCGTTACCCACTCACTTTTCTTCTAAGACAGATTATTTCAAGTACTAATTTGATGTAGTTGGTTTATACTACTGTAATGGCGTTTGTATGCATCATCTGAATTTCGAGTGATGAATGTGAAGCTCTTCCCTCGGGTGGCAATGCTTCCATTATCAATTATATTCTGCGAATTTTTTAGCTCTGCTGCCCATTTAGGCATTTAGCATCAGCAATACATGATTTTTTCAATTTCAATTTCATTTTTTCAACAAAATAACGCTTTCAAGGAAGAAAAAGCTTTACAGCACATTGTTATGACATATTTAGCCCCTCTGTTTCTTTCTGGTATATTCTAGGTTCTCCTGAGCTGGAAACGTTTTTCAATAGTAATCATGAGACATGTATAGTCTACCGAAGTAGCTGGTACCATGTATATTACTTACTAAAATGCCCCTTCCACACAACTCCGTTAAGCTGCGTCTCTTCTATGTAAACGAAGTTTCAGACATAAATTGCAGTCATTCTACAGTTTTTTGTTTTCAATTCGTTGCTTCCTACGTCATTCATATTAGCCTGTCATTTTCTCCCGCATGTCATGCAACTGATTTGGATGTTTTTGTGGAATACAGTTGTACGAATCAACATGAAGAGTGAAGTGAGTGGTGAAAATGAAGGAAGGCTGGCGGTTGAGGAACGGAAGATCGAGAATGCAGGGAACGTATGCCAATGGTTTAGCGAGGGATTGGATCTACAGAAGGAGGATTATTGTAATTGGAGAGGAAGAGCGATTGAGAAGCTTATTATCCTCAGGCTTCTAGGAATGCATTACCCATCATTCTGGTGATGTTATGTTCTTGCATGAAGGCGACTTATCTGCCGCAGTTTGACAGTTCATGCCAAGGGCATGAACAAATTGATGGTGTGCTTTGGAGAATTTTTCCTTGAATTTGTGCCAACTGTGAGAGAAATCTCGATTGATGATGCCTTGATATTTGAGAAAGCGCCCGGCGGTGCGCCCGCGAATGTTGCTTTTGGGATTGCAAAGCTTTGGAGAAATGCTGCCTTTGTTGACAAGGTACTATTGAACTATCCGACCGATTACGATACAATGGAGTTGCAAACATGACTGCTATTTAGTCTATCAATGTGCTTGCGAGTAGATGAACTCTACCAATCAGATGCTACCGTCACCAACTTTTCGGTGGTGGATTTCTGCAGCGCCAACCAGTTATATTGGCAGAGCACCATCAGCTTTTTCTCTTGGGATCTGGTTTCGGCTGCAAGTTTTGTGCATTAATCAGACATTCTCAAATTCTGCATTTGAAACTTTGTTCAACCGTTTGTAATCATTTAGAAAGGTCGACAGAGTTCGCAGTTTTCTTAAATGTTTTGTCTCTCTGACCTGCTCATGGCAACCCAGAAATGATGTCCACATGTTAACTACGAGCCTTGTAGTCACTAAGAAAAGCCAATTAGATCTGTGCTTACTGCTTGAGCGTTCTTATTCAGGAACAAATAAAAGACTCACTGAAGATTAGTTGGTGGCGGCTGGTTGGAATGATGATTTAGGGTACACGTTGGTGAAGTTGAAAAAGAAGAATGTGGAAACAAAAGCTGCCGCTTTGTGCCAAACGACAGGACTGCGCTTGCGTTTTTAACATTACGAGACGCTGAATTCATGTTTTTGTCTCAGTCCTAGTGCAGACTTGTTCGAAATGAAGCAGCTTGAGATTGATCTATTTTGAACGGTACGAATTGTTTTCATATTCAATAGAATTTTCATGCTTGGACAATTGCTTCATGTTCATGAGTTCATTTGCAAGTCGTGTTTTTTAATTTATTAATGGATGTATAATCCTATCAAGAAGTGATCTTTGCTGCGAAATGTCAGGACGTGTCGTACAATTCGCCTCTTCAATGTTTGAATATCCTGATCGTTTTTCAGATGTCTTTTGCACGCTTTTACAACAAACTATGAGTCTAATATGCTTTTGAATGCGGAGCCCTGGCCTCAAACACGCATGGAAGTTATCATAGCTGTCAGAGAAGAGAGATGTTCGTTGTCGTTTTATTCTATTTTTCTATTTTCATAAGGGTCTGGAGACGGGAGAAGCTAATGCAAATATATATATATATATATATATATATATATGTGTATCGAAGCACAAAGATGGGTGGCGGGAGTTGAGAGAATAGAAGTAGAGGCTGTGGTCTTTGCTTTTAATTGTTTACACAATATGCACAAAGGAATCCCAAAAGGGGGGGATTGGGGTGACTGCAACTCTGGTACGGAATTCTTCGAGTGTCGTAAGGGCCAGGAGGTTGAAGATGTATGCGGGCTGCTTACGTACACGAAGCTGAGTTACGTCGCAGCTTTCTCTATTTTGCAGGTGATGGTAATGCGCCTTGAAATACTTGGTCCTGTTATGGAGAACAGTATTCTTCGCGTGATTAATGCCACTTTGCCTATTGAGAAAAAAAAACAGAGTGAAAGATGCATCTATAACTCTTAACCCTCACAGTAAATTGTGTAAACGCATCGCCTCTTTTCGAGCCTTCCGTTACAACGCTCTAACTCAGATCTTGACGGAAGGTGAGACAGAAGTATTAGAATTAGAATATTGTGTGAGTCTTTACAATCTGCTATATGTTGTGCCCGCGGCTTCAATCATATTTTATTTCAAATCACAAATGTCTATGGAAATCACAAATCCAAGGATGGCTAAAAATTCGTTGATCACTTTGAACCACTCCTGGGGAGATTGTTTAAGCCATATAATGTCTTCTGAAGGCGGCACACCATTCGGGAGTTTTCATATATGTTTCTTCTTAAAGAGAGCCATTCGAAAAGGTGGTTTTGACGTCTATTTGATGCACGTGGAGGTCAAGTTAAATCGCCAAAGCAAGGATAAGTCTTATGGATTGAATGCGAACAATGGGGGAGAAGGTTTCATCGTAATCAAGACCTTGGATTCGAAGCGATCAACGTCACCCGAGCTTTGTAACTTGATTTAAAAAATCCATTTACACGTGATCGTCTTGCAATGGGGAGGAAGATGAACAAACGTCCAAGTGGAATTCGCAGCATGAGAATTAAGCTCTTCTTATATAACCAGTTGCCATTGATGGGCTTCAGGAGAATTTACAGCCTGTTGATACGTCGCAAGTTCCATGGGGACTTGGAATTGTCTTTGATGTTCTTTTTGGACGCGGAAGTAAAACATCCGGATTATAATTTTCTGCAGGGTCCGTGGCTGGAGGAAACCCCTTTGTCGAGCAAGCCGAGGCAAGAACAGGGGCAGAGCTAGAGATTGTCAGGGAATTGTGCGTCGCGGGTGAGTCTGCTAAGTGTAATGCGGACCGGCCAAGCGGACTCATCTGGGCGTGCTGGCCAAGGAAGGGCATGAGTTCAAGCCCAGATTGGGAATCCACAACCCGCCTAACAAGATGAGTGCCAAAGCGAGGAGATATCGAAGGTGGCGGCGACAGTAGCGCAGGCAAGGCTCTTTCAGGAGGCAGGGACTGTGAGGACCCGGGCATAGTGGTCACCCCGCGGAGTTTAGTGTCAGCCGCCAGAAAAGCCGCAAACTACCGCCGTTGGTCAAGGAAAGTTTGGGGCGGGGCCGAGGCCAGGGGAGCACGCCGGAGGGCAGGCTCCAGGGAGAGACCCTAGGGTTCCGATTCAAGGGAGGCATGCCGGGGAACAGGCTCTACTTAGAGACCCTGAGGGATTTGTAGCCAAGGAGTATGCACTTGCACAATTTTTTGTTGAGTTCAACCCGAAGTGGGTCGGGTATTTTTGCAAAGCAACTGCCACCAAAAACACGATGGGCAATACATGGATTTCTTTTATGCCATATTTCAAAAGTAGTGTCACTAAGAAGGCTTTGGTGGGGCTTCAATTTTGCAAATAGGTGGTGCATGTGACAGCCTCACTCCAACAGTGTTTGGAGAGCTTAGCTTCATGAAGCATGCAGCATGTGGTGTTGAAAAGAGTGCAATTTTTTCTTTTTGCAATGCCATTTTGACAAGGAGTATACATTGTTGCGAGTTGGCATTGAATGCCATGAGTCTCCAAATAGTGATTGAAGTTGGAGGAGAGATATTCTCTTCTTTGATTTTCTTGTAGATAGGATTGAATGACTATATTACTTGCAAAGAATGTTTTTTTGAAAGCAAGCCAAGCTTTGTTGGCAGATTTGTACGCTCTTATATGGGAGAAAATAGAATTGTCAATACAATCCCATACAATGGCACAAACTGCATTGTTTTTCTTTTTTCACATTGTGATAGCACCTTGATTTGTTGGTAGTAATAATAGTGCTCCATTGATTTCTAGAAGTAATGTTGTTGTTGTTGTTGTTTTTTTTTTTTTTTTTTTTTTTTTTTTTGCCAAAAACCAACTTCTATAGCCCTTTCATTTCAAACTTCATTTAGATTTTTTATTTCCAACAATAAAGATATAAATTCCAATTGCACAACAAAATTTTATTCAAGCAACGGTTGAATAAGCCAACATCAAAAATCTTTGTGGATTTCTATTACGAATATATTATCTACAACTAAAAAAAATACACCTATTTGTTGTCTTTATGAATATAATAAATAATTTCATGATGGTGATTGAGTGCCACCAAAAGTCTTCAAGAACTTGTCATTGCAAGCGTATCATAGATGTGGTACTTGTTGAAGGCTACAAAGAGCCTAATGCAACAAATATAATGTGTTTATATTTTACATACAATCAATACATGCCTATAATACAACAATTCATGCTTTATAGCTATAGTGAAAGCTAGAAGTTCTAAGTTACACCTTCAAAATTAAGTGAGCTTCTACAACTTGGCTGCATTATAGATGATAAAAAAATAACATTCAATTCTTTGTTGTGGTGAATAGAAACTTTTTTCTTATGAAGGCAAGTGGTTAGCTTGTATAAGCAAAAACTTGCTGAAATAAACGAGACTCAATGGCACATGATTATATAATAGCTTAAAAAAGAAAGTTATCTTGGTAAACACAATCTTGAATAGTGAATTGACATAATCCATTGATGAGACTCTACTAAATTTAAATAAAGTCTCATTATCACATAGAAATTTAAAAGACTGAGTAACATGCATAAAAGCTAGAGACAATAGAAAATCTATCGTAGGTAATGAAGAGAATTTAGAAGTGCATAAGGAGCCTAGTTTAAGTGGATGCTCAATATAAATAGCGATTGGTATTGAAGCAAGAGGCTTGTAAATATATAATCTAACATCATATAAAAGGATGACTTGCTTTGCACAACAAGCATTGCAATGGTAGAAACTAACATCTATTCTATGTTGGTGAAATTGCAACATAAAGTCTTGGTAATTTACACATGATGGCTTATATCAAGAACATGAATATGCACCAAGCAACCAAATACATGCAATCTAGAGGGATCAAAAGATGTGACTAAGATGAACAACTCTAAGGTTGTAATAATATTAGCCTTCAAATTGATAAACTTCTACATAAAATAGATGTAGTTGTTGCAATAAGTTGCATATTGATACATGTATAAAATAATAAAATATAAAAAAGTAATATTTTTTTATAAAGAAATATTATAATATATGAAATGATTAGAATATTTCATACTAAAATACTAATATAATTATATTACATTGCTAATTAAGCCAATTGAGAGAATTTTAATCTCAATCAACAAATTACTTCAATGAATTCTATCCACAAAAAATAAGACATTCTAATATCTTCTTAATTTTTTAATCAAATTATCCTAATTACATTTTTTGATGGATTATTTTAATAGAAAAAGAACATAATAGTTGTGGAGCAAGTTAAAACAAAAAGAAACCACATCAATTGTGGAAGGAGTATTTTTATAATGGGCATGAATTCTTTGGTGATAAGCATTTATTTGTTTTATATAAATTTTCATATATTTGTGTTGTCATACAAATTGATACTACACTAAATTCTTCTTTGTAAGTTGAGGCTCTTTTGTTTTGAATTTGCTCCATTGTATTGTTTTTGTAGTGGTTCTGTAACTGGTACTTAGAATTTTTAAGGTGTCAAATTACTCAAGGATCTTCTAATAAGCTTTGTCTTTCTTTTGTCTCGATAGCATATTATATCACATCTTTATCTTTACATTTATTATGGATATTCTATAGATAATTTGATATTTTAGTTTTGAATTTTGTTGAATTGCTGAATATGTACTAGATAGGATAAGAAAGATAATATAAATTGTCTTCATAGTACCTACAACAAACATTAGATGATAGAGATTTGGTGTCAATTGTTAGAGTGGCAGTAAATTTAAGTTAAAAGATTGTATGCTTGATTTTTGGTTCTTTTCATTCAAAAAGTATTAACATTAAGTTAAGATTGGGTAATCCAAGAATTTATATTGTAAGATGAGGAGTAATATTTAAAATAAATAATAGCTAGGAGGATTATGAAAGAATAATAAATAGATTTTTAGGAGTAAAGTATTAGAATTTCAAATCCTATCAAGAGGCTATATATTTTCTAAGAAAAAACAAAGTTATGCATTAAAATTATGGATGATAATAAATAGAGTAGAAGAATCTATTACTAAATTGTAAGTAATATCATATAAGAAGAAGTTGGTATGTAAGTTACTGCTTATTGAAGTGGCTATAGATGATATTTTTTTATTAATGAATAGTAGAAGAATTGATAGCCTTAGTCTTGCTCAATATTGCTAAAATTTTGTTTAGAAGAGAGTTTTTGTAAAGTTATTTGTAGATTGAGAATGCTCAGGTATGTAGTCTAAAT